TACACAGACGGGCACGCGTACACGATTATACATGTATAAATACGATAATTTCATTATTGTATAATTTTTAAAACAAAGAGGGTCGCTAGGCTGTTAAGTTGCCGTGGTTGTATATGTATACATAAGCACGTCGTATATATAATAACCGAGTGCCAGAGGCTTCAATCGATGACGATGTAATTACCTATACCCGGGCGCTGAATTTTTCATCGTGCTCGAAACAATAAGGTATTTTCAGACCAAACAGCAAAGGGGCCGCCGACCAAGCAGCAGCAGCCGAGGCTCGGAGATTTATACTGCCATCGGCACCCTTTTTTTCTCGAGGCACAGTACACTGTAATGTTTTTTTTTTTTTTTTTTTTCCAACTGCAATGAGAAAGAAAAAAAAATTACTGTGCTAGAATGGTAATTTGATGTCATTCCGCCGTCTAGGGACTTTATACTTTGGCCATCCTAATTTTTACCATATTCTGGACAGCAATTGCTATTGTACAAACAGTAAAAATCACTGTATACTTATACAACAAAAATTACTGCTCTGAACATTAAAAATTATCGTTTAAATGGTAAAAAGTCTCTAGTCGACCAAACAGTACCAGATTACCATTCCAGCAGTAATTTTTATTATTTTTTTATCCCAGAGTGGTAGCCACTAACGTTTTCGTGAAAAATGTTAAAAACGTTGCCTCGGTCATTGAGCTTAATGTTTCTATTATTATTTTTTAACCAAAATGCGATCACGTGGTTGCTAGTATTAATTTTTAATGGCCACATCATCGCAGGCGAATTCGCATTCAGAGGTATTTGTTATTTTATCATTGCCCTCGGCCGTATCGAACAACAAGTGAACGAACAAACGAGCAGCACGAGGGCACAGTGTTGACACTCCATGTAATGGAATAATCTGTGCCGAATCTCCAGGAGCAATCGTAGCCCGAAGCCTATACCTACTCGTTTTGTTCCTCGATCCCCTTTTCACGTAACTATATAACTCTCTCTCTCTCTCTCTCTCTCTCTCTCTCTGCCCACACATGAGCGTTTACAGCCTCCTTTGTTTCTTCTCTCTACTTCGAAGTGCGGTTTCACTACTGTTACACTTCTCTTATGCTGATCCACACTCCTGAGGTTTGTGGTATACCTACACGTATCTACGTTCTTACTTACAGGTATTGTCTCAGGATACGCCGCTCGCGCAATCGGGTTACCACTGGCTGTTTGCCCCAGAGAGATTAGCTTGAACGATCGCTGTACAAATTAGCGAATACTGTCAATAAGTGCACGTAGGAGTGAATACTATTTTTTATTCTATTTTTTTTTTTTTGTACTTGTCAAATGAGGTACGGTACTTATATACACATTTTAATCTTTGGTGCTTATTGCGATTGTACTTTGGGGATGTACACTTTACCGTTAAAAGTTCCGCGAACACTAGTGCAGGATGTTGGTTTTAAAACAGAACAAAGAGGGTTTTTTTTTACGCGTGTACAGGACCAGTAAACAAAGTTTCAAAAGCTCCATCGTTCCAAATGACGCGCATTAAGGAGCTCGAAAAAAAGCCGCTCTTTGCAACATGCAAGTTTTAAATACGCTAACTCAAAATGTCTGTATTGAAGAGAGAAAAAAAAGAAAAAAAAAAAAAAAAGAAAAAATATCCTCAAACAGTAAAGCCCTGCATCAAAAGCAATCGGCGTAGCACAAACGTTTTCCTTGTGTATACTTGCAGTCTCCTCACGAAAAGCGTCCTTTCCGCACGATAGACTCGCTTTATGGCACCGCATAATGCACACAATGTACAATAAAACCAACTGCACGAGCATATCAATCGCTTGTTATGTGTATAACAACCACGAACTTGGTATGGAGCCCAATTTTTTGGGCAGTCACTGACCGTCCACACTTTTTTCGACAATTAAGAAAAAAAAAAAAAAAAAAAAAAAAAAAAAAAAAAAAGCATCTCACTCGACCGAGCAATCGCAGAGTGTAGGAATAATATGTGAAAGGAGAGTACGCAGGCATCAAAAGGCGCACTGACGAAAAAAAAAGAGCACCACAGCAAAGAGAGAGAAAAGAGAGAACTTTGGAAGCTGCAGAGAGGAAGAAACGGAAAGATTCTGGGAAGCGTCGAATTGTTCAAGAGTCGGATTAGAGAGAAGGAGAGTGCGTGGCGCTAATACCGCGACAATGCGAGGCTGATGTTTTCGCGCTGCAACAGCCGCGCCCCGGGAGGCACGACGACTCTGAATTGCGACTTATTAGTCCGAGCCAGGTTACACTTGACTGGTCTC